AATGTTCAGACTAATTCCGAGCACTGATTTAGACAGTAGATCGATACGTGAGTGTTGTTGCATTTGTACTTTGTACGAAGCTGCATATACGGTTCATAGGTCATAGATAGACATACTGGTTTGAGGTAAATGCATACGATGAAAGAGAAAGTTATGCCGTAGCTTTAGTTTAACGATCGAAATGCAATCGCCGAATATATTTGTCTTAACATTATTACGAGGATTTGCAAAAAATTTTACTTTAACTTATCATAAAAGTTAAGAAATAATTATTTTTGAATTTTATGATTGACTTGCTACAACAAAGTGTAATGCTTTACATAGAGCAGTTAAATGCATCTTAAAATAATCATCTTCAAAATTAGCGGATTTAAAAATTAAATACCAAATATTGCAAAATGACATTTGTAATGTGAAGATGTATGTTTACAATATAGAAACGATTGGGCGAATGAATAAAACAGGATTTCAAAGATGCTGAATAGAAAGAAAGAAAACCAGAGAGAGTCTCGAATCTGTGAAGCGTAGATACAGCCATGGAAGCGAAAGAAGCTGCGCGAACGAACATGTCCAAACCTGCACGGATAACATATAACGTGTATAACGATGACAAGGAGAACCGAACCTAATATATATCATTAAAGTGGGTCAATCATATCGGGAGCTTCTCCAAAGCGATGAAAGTATAGTGCAATACTTGGTGCGCGTGACAGCATAATTAATAATTAATAATTTTAATATATGCGTTTTATATTTTTATATATTGTTTTTATCCATGTAAAAATGTAATACAACAAACAGTACAATTTTAATTAGCAAGTGTTGATATAAATGGAAATGTTATTATTGTTGTTTATAATTCAAAATCTTCATACGAAATAATAAGAATATCGTAATGATATGTTAATCACTCACACTTTTTCTTCCCCCCCCTTTCCTTCTCTCTCTCTCTCTCTCTTAAGCACGCGATATATTTATCACGCAAAAATTTGTGATCAGAAGCCTTTCGAGCAACGCTTCCCGCTGCAATATTACACAACGACATAAACGATGCTTCTATTTATTCCCGCGAAGTTATATTTTCTGCCCGATCTTTCGTAGCGTGATAACATAATGACGCCTATCATAAGCTACAATCACTTGATTGCATTTAATATTTTCGATTTAAGAGGCGGATGATCTGGTTACTGGGAAACTTCTCTCGCTCATTTCTCGGAGTCGCGGAATGACTCAGCAATCGTGCTCGAGTTTACCTACGGACCCTCTCGTTACACTGTTGCCGCTAGTCAATTGTGTAAAACTAAGGATTTTACATTTTTCAATTAAATTGATCGATATTGCGATATATAATGATAACATATAAGAAAAATAATAAATTGAAATGATAATATAAAACAAAATAATAATTATCATTAATTTTGATGTCATTAAATTAGTAATGTAAGCTCTTACTTTATTCACATACGATTTATATTGAATTCAGCTAACTTATTTATTATGATTAATTCATCTGTGCCGATACTAATCAATTCAGTCAACTACAATATTGCGAATGAACAAAATTATTTAAATTTTGATGCAATTTCGTATAAAAACAGATATCAAAATAATCAATTTAAATGACATTTTGCTTAAAATATATTAATTATGCAGAAATAGAAGAAATATTGCGAAATGAAGAATTTCCGCAAAATTGATCGACGCAATGGTAAATTTATTGAAAAAAACAAATCTGTAAAGTGTCTCCGCCGTTAGAGGATCATAATTTTTTCCTCTCAAAATTTCCTTACAGCGCGTTCTTAAGCGGAACGTGAGCCTGCGCACGTTCGCGACAAACTTTACGGTCGCGTGAAAATAATGATATGGGTATGCTAATTCGCCACGCGAGTCGGTATCGTCACGCGTCACTGACCGTTCGTTGTACGAAACGGTTCGTACCTGTCGGCCCGGAGATTAGAAAGGCGACGATCCCCGTGTTGATATGCCGAGTGTGAGAATCATGCGCCGGTTACCCACGTCATCCGCGCGACACCAATTTAAAAATGAAAATAAAAACGAAAAAGATCCGCTCGCTTTTGTATGCAAGGCAACGCAATCTGTCTTTTGCGACATCTGGTTCGGCCTTCGACGCAACATTATTAATCGAGAAATCACGAGCGACTCGGCCGTTATAAAATGTCTCTAATGGCCTCGATCACAAAAGTCGAAGGCAAGTTCCGCGAAAGTAATCCCCGGTACTCGGATTGAAACGCAACAAACGCGATATATTTGCGGCAGTGCAATGCCGAGAGGTGAATCAGGTGAATGATAATTGTGCTTTGGTATCGTCTAGGCATCTTATGCAAAGACCGATCGCCTGGCATATATGCATAGATTATACGGTGTGCTTCCCCCTTTATGAATAACAGATATAAAAAGAGACCTTGCGATCGCATTATAACGATACGCATAAGTAGTCTTGCAAGATAGCACGATTGCGCGATCCAAATAATCCCCTCGCAATTTGTTTAACGAAATCAAAAATATTTCCAAAGTGATAAAAAAATAAGAAAAATGTGAAAGTGTTACATATAATGCGTGACTTTTCGATTTTTCTTGCTGATTTTCCCTGAAAATAATCGTACGTACGAAAGATCCTAAAAAAGTTATAATTTATTTGCTTAAAATACGCATTATTAGTCCGCTATTTATATCTGCTATGTTATAAATAGTGTAATATATGGCTTACGCAATATTTTGCAATAATATCGACCGTAAATTGCGGTCGTGAAATGTCCGCATATCCGCGGAATGACTGAGAGTACGGTTGCATGAATGAGAATAGGATTTGCATAAGAGTAGCGCGCGAAGATCAGGAAAGGAAGCGCCGTGTAACGGGATTGAGGTCTTGCGCAAGATCCCAAAAGACGTGCGATCGTGACTAAATGATCGGAAGTTGGTCCAAACACGCGGTGTATCACTGGCGCGCCAAAGGAATTCGCTCGCAGTGATTCAGAGCACGAACGGCGTTCTCGGCATACAAAATGCCAAATAGTCCCGATCAAATTTGCGCACACCTTGCGCTATGTTGCACTATGCGATTACTTAAGCGGACCGCGTAATTGTTCGGATCGCTGGAAACACTCCGAACTGATGACGCAGGTGTAAATCCGCGGAAACGTTACAGGCAATAAATTTTGGTGTTGAACTTGTCGTTCGTATTTGCCGCGGGAAACACTGCGATACGTAATCGACTTTACACTCCGTTAAATAAACTGAAAGATTACTGGAGAAGAATACTCAGTATCTCGCAAAATAGTATACGTCAGCGTGAGCGTGAATGAGTTTAAGTGTTTAAAGGCGGGGGAAACCCGTATCTTTGTTGTGTAATATACAAACTTATTCAATCGGAATAAATATTGAACAAGTACAAGCAATAATAATTCTGTTAAAATTTTTATTTTTGAAGTATGCAAATAAGTAAAAATATTCTATATATTATGATTAAATTAGATATTGGATATTCGATCATTTTTTATAAAAGCAGCACAATCAATATAGTGAAAAAAAGTAAAAAAAAAAAAAAAAAAAAAAAAAGAATTTGAAGAATAAAGCGTAGGTGTCGGGACGCAAAGGATATGATAAATCAATACGAAATAGCACTACAAAACTGTTTCCGTCCTCTTTAGTGAATTATACCTTTGCAATAAAAAATGTTTACATTGTTTCAGTGTCTGAAATTAATTTTGATACACATGAATATCGGAACGAGCGATAAATAAAAAAAATTGGCCATAAAAAACGTAATGTACGATTTGATAATCTCATTGCTGCTAAATAGCAATCTGGAAGAGTGCGAGATATTCCTAAAATTTATCAAGCTGTTATTAGGAAAGCTGCGTCCTCAAAGCTACGACCGCGCGTGGAATGGGGTCAGAATGTGTTTCTTCCGCAAGCAGGTTCGTCGATTCCGCAAGACCTTCGGTTTACGCGTCCTTTACGAAGACATTGCTCCGAGATGAATGGAGCATTCCTGGAATCGAGTCGCGATGATTCAACGGAACGGTCTCGGCGATCCTATGCGTGCTCAATTCTCTTACTATGCCCTCGAAGAAGCATCGCGCGTATGACGAAGCAACTGGGCGCCTTGCAAAAATTACGCCTACTCAATATACAATCCGGAAATGCCACAGCTTCCTAACCGAATATGTAACACTTGCTTTCCATACCAACTTGATGGATTCAGAATTTTTTCAATGTGCTCTTTATTTCATGTTAAGTTTAGAAAAAGCTTTGAATTTTATTATTAAAATTAATAATTATACATAACAAATAAGTAGAGTGTTAAAACGTATCTTATATCGTTTGATGGGTCTAGAAGTTCACTGCGATGCATTGAAATCTTATATTTTAAAGAAAGAAATAGTTCCTTTTTCTGTTTAAAGTATAAAATTTTAATGCATATCAGTAAAGAAATATATATGCTAAAGTTCTAACCTACTAAATATTATAATATAACAATTTAAAGCATAAAAATGTACTTTAATGTTAAAATGTACATTTCTCTCTAGAGAAAATTTGATCGAGAGAAATAATAACACCTAAAAGAAAAGAAATGTGAACGAGAGTAAAGAATGAAACGATCTAGTGAGAGATCGCATCAGCGCTCACGTCAACGAACGCGGACGTATTGCATGACTATCGATGATATGCAAGCTTCTTAGTTCTGTTTGCGTTTTGTATCGAAATGGATAGCTAACAGACGGCCATGTAAAATGATCTGCAACGATAACAAACTGTATAAAGTATAACTGTATAAAGTATCGATAACATAATTGAAGATTAAATAATAGCGACTAAGATTATAATTTAAATTTCCTTCATTAATGAAGTAGAAGTACAAAGCATAAATATATACTCGTCTATAAAATTGGCTGATGTTACTTCACATTTCTATTTTACAAATACGATATGGAAATTGAAACGCGACACAGATATCTACGTCGCAATCTTAAGTCAATCGATACGGCCACTTTGAATGAAAGTGTGAATGAAGCCGAAAGCACGTGTTGTTGACGACGGCACAAGCCCACAGTGGGCCCGTCAGAAATCTTATCGGTAGATATGAGTGCTCGAAAGAAAGGGAACGGAAACCGAGAGTGGAGAATGAAGCGGATCTGCCGGTGGGAGGGTGCATCTCAAGCAAAAGCGCGTAGCATGATAGTAGCTGAGACGCGAGCTGCACAGGTGCACCCTGAGAGAGTAACGCGATATCGTGCGATCTTCCGACCCCAAGCAGATACCCGCCGTCCCGACCCTGAAGGGCACCGGCTCAGCAATGAATCATCCGGAGGAAATGATCTGTACATACCAGCACTTTGTGAGCTACAAGTGCATACTTGGACGTACACCGGCTGCGCCGACCACGTGCCATCGTGTGATCGCAATGTAATATCCATAGGGTGTCCTATGTA